TTAATTAATATTAAATTTTAAAAATAGTTTAATTATATATATTGATTGATACTAAATTATTAAATTTAATGACTTTTTACAACTAAAATATTATATCATAAAATATTTGTTGAGAAATTCACCCTTTTACAATAATTGTTGATTTTAAATTTATTTTTTAAAGTGATTATATTTGTTTTAAAATAAAATTTATGATAGCAAATACTTTAGTTACGATATATTTTTTTTGAAATTAATTTTGTAGTTAGAAAATATAGTTTTTAAAACAGTCATTGATATTTCTATATATTTTTAGTGTAACTATTAATATTGTTATTAAATCATATTTTACAAAACAATGGATGACGTTGTTTAAATTGTTATATAATAACCAAATATTTTTGTTGCTAAATCTTATTTTCTAAACTAATTTATAAAGTTAGGAAAAATCCTTTTTACCAACATTTTAAATGGTTGTTGTAACAATTTTTTTACAACAATTATAATAGTTGCATAATAAATCTTTTACCAACAGTCCAATAGGGTAGAAAAAATATATTTTTTGTAACATTCATTAGTATTACTAAATCATATTTTACAAAACAATGAATGGCGTTGTTTAAATTATTATATAGTAGTCACATATAATTGTTGCTAAATCTCATTTTCTAAACTAATTTACAAAGTTAGGAAAAACCTTTTTTTACCTACATTTTAAATGATTGCTGTAACAATTTTTTTACAACAATTATAATAGTTGCATAATAAATCTTTTACCAACAACTCAACATGGTAAAGAGATTTTTATATCCCATGTAGTAGGCTTGTCCCTAATACTATTTAACTGAAATAATTTATGATGTAGAGAAATTTCTTTTTGGTAATAATTGTAATAGTTGTGAAAATACACTTTTAATAATGACTAATTTAGTTGCATAATTTCTTTTTTGTAACAACATTTTTTGGGTATTGAACTTACTTTGCATAACAACTTATTTTTGTTGTAAAATTATATTTTAGGTAATGACTTATGATGTTGTTATAAAATAAGTTTAGTAATGATAAATATAGTTATTAAAAGTTAATATGACAACCATTATTATGTTGTAGCTATTGTTCTTTACTTACGAATATATATCGTAGGTATTTTATTTTACTTATTATTTTTTAAATGTAGGTATAAGTTCATTGATCTTTTACTTACGATATATAATACTATAGGAATATGTACATTTGCGTAGTTAATTATCTATAGTTACAGGACATATATTTACACTTTTTTCTCCATATGTATAGGCCTCGAATGAGATATACTTACAGATTTTGACCATATACATACAAATTTTGTCCGTAGCTAAATGGCAAAAATACTATAGTGATATATAGTTATAAAACTTTTCTTATTAGTTAAACCAAATACAATGTTGCCAAAACCATGGCCTTAAATTGTTCTTCTATGTGTTATTTTTGTGTGGCCCTAAAATTTCTTTTTGTGTCGGTAACCATGGCCAATAGTTACTAACTACATATAGATACACATTGATGGTGGGGAGGGGAGGTAGAAGCAACTCTATCACCAAAAGAAACTATTGTTATCATAATTATTGTCATGTACGGTTGTGGTAACTACACATGACCCTAATGGTTTAAACTAAAACACCATCAAGTTTGATTTAATACTCACTATACAAGTAGTTTATTAGCAGCTGGATTCGTTTATTTTCCTAAAGTTAGTTCATTGGCCTTGAATATTTTCAACAATAACTAGACTAATGCAGTAGTTAGGATTTTAATTAGCTTATAGGAATGTGAAAGGAATTAAAGCCAGCATATACAAAGGGAAGGATTGACATTGGAGACGCAGCCATCAAAATTGACAATTAAAATTGACTCCTTTTAACCTGATGCTCTACCTAATTAATAAATTATTGGAGATTGTTTTATGATAACTGGGTCCTTAAGTAAATGGTATAAACAGTTACTTTCTTTTTTTGTGTGGTTATAGAATTATATATATCTAATCAACTTAAAAAAAATTTTTTTGAACAATTTGTAATTATTTACAAATTTAATCGGGGAAGGGGAGAAAGGGATTTCGTGGGACTCGAATGTGCAACTCACGGAGGTAAACAGCCCTAACCCAGGGTTCAAACCACTGGGTCGGAGCGGGCCGTTTTAATCAACTTTAAATTTGAAACATATGATTTATATAAATAGAATAAATTTAATTGTTGATTTTAAATATGATATAAATTGTAAAAAAAATATAAATAACTATTATAAAAATTTATATGACACAAGAGTACAAGCCTCTTTCCAAATAGCTTTTCAGGATGTTTGTATTACTTAATTTATAAGTAATTAATAATTAATGATTATTATTTATAATTTAACGTATATAATTCATTTAATTAAAATTAATAATTAATAACTATTTACAAAATACTAAAACAAACACCTCTTTATCCCTTTTTTTCAATGTTCAAGTGTGACATTCATTGATTATTGGTGATCATCTTTCACAGTTGTTTCCAATAACCACGTCTTTATTGACAACAAAATATGTATAGACTATAGACTGTGAATATTAATTAGCTGACTAGTTGTGTCCAAGTACAAAAAGCAAGATAAAATCTGTAAGGATAAGTTTAAGATTTTTAATCTTGGACGTACTGCTATAGTTTTTTAATAATTGAATTGA